GTGTGGTCGCCGCTCCTCTAGTAAGTGAAGTGATAGCATCAAGTTGACCACAAGGTGCACGCGATAACTCAAGCGTGCGTGATCGGTGTCCCGTCGACGGAAAATACTAAGATTGATGTATCTTCTTCTAGTCAGTAGATCTCCGCAAGTACTTTGGTCACTAACATACCATTTCGTACGAGAGCGTAAAGTTCCTTCCTGACCTAGTGCTTCTCTGTAGAATAGCTCCTTTCGAACTGAACTTTTCTTGAGATAGCCCTTGGCTGCCCCCGCTAGTCGTTGCTTCAATGTTTCTATTCACTCTCGAACAATATTGACAACATAAAATTTATTACAAACAAAAATAGTATCATTATTAATTATTTAATATTGTTCTTGTAATTCCCGTGTAACTGTTAATTGTCATCTCTTAAATTAGCCCGGATATTAAAAATATACAATGTAATATTCTAAATTATATTTAAAGTTAAAAATGTTTTGATGATATTTACGCAATGCTTAATTTAACGAAGTAATATTTATATTTTGTTATGTTTGGTGTATGATAATATATAAACTGTAAAATTAAACAGTGAACAGGTACAAAAAAGTGTAAAGTGTACACTTAGAAAAGTGGCTGAGAGATAGAAAGATGTAAGAAAATATTATTTGTAACTATAATACTGTTGTTCGGGATTGATGCAGTCCCATGAATTTCAAACAAAAGAAAGGTCATACGCGCTGTCCGGCGTACAGCATGTGCGCCTAGATTGGCACGCACGTGCGGACCGGGACGCGCACTTCAGCGAATGTTTCCAAACAAAACTCGGCAAGTCCAAGCAAGTTTACGACCCGAAATATAATATACTATAAGATCACCCAAGGGTATTACTCCTACTTTTCTCTCGTCGAACATTCTCGAAGGTTCTAGATTTTTCCTTCGACGCCTCGTGTAAAAATTAGTGCAACAACGATGATGCCTTGTTGCCAGCTAAGTGAGCCGCCACGTGGCTATATAAAGGACGCACGCGGCGTGCCTCGACCTCTTCCTGAAACACCCTCGCTCAACTGCGCTTGCGGCTAACATCTTGCCGTGACCCGACCGCAATGACCGACCATAGTGAACCGATTCAATCATCTACCAAAAGAAGCCATGGCACACGGGTCACGATCTGCCCTCAGCAGGACCGCCATGGAACGGTCGGTATTTTCAGCAGAGCCGCCACGGAACGATCAAGCCTTCGGTTCGTGTGCGTATTCAAAGGGCTCATTTGTAATATCACTTCACGCTCACTCAAGCATAACTGCCGCTCAGTGTTTTTAGTATACTGTGAAGACGACGCATGGCCATATTTTCGGCAGCCTAGTTAAAAATACACGTGCATCATTAAAAAGAAATCAGCGGGTTAGGCAGTGATTTTACAGTCAAGCCAATGGAATAGTAATCAAGGGGGACATCAATTACACAGCAACTAATACACCTTGCCTGCATTTCACCGGGTACACCTTTATATTAATAAATAAACAAGTCACATCTCGCGCTATAGTCGATTGAGCACACTTACGCTCTCTCGAACTGATCCCTCGACATCGTACAGGCCCGCTAGCACAAACAGGGCACACTTACGCTCTCTCGAACTAACCCTCGACAGCTGACGCAAGAGTCACTGTGGTTCACACACATTGTCAAAGAAGGACAACAACAGATCGACTAATAGATTATAAATACAGATTATTAAATCCTTCACGAGTTAGAAATCTTACCATTAATTACTCTTACCTGTGACTAGATTCTTCTACTGTCCCCTTGCATAATTCAAGACACAAATGATTACTAAATAAATTCCATTAAACATCTTACACCACATCAAGTATAATTATTCATTCATCAAGCATACTTGATTCAACTACCATCTTCTCATGCTACCTCATAAGCATGATTGATTGACTATACCAGTTGATATTTACAACATCAGCATTACTTCAACTTCAAGATACTGAGTCATATCCATAGAACTACAATAATCAAGTATACAAGAACACACCCTCATTACTTCGATAGAATCATCTCTCTCTACACAACGGTGCAATATTATTATAATCATTTACAAACAATAAACATTGTTTTTACTAAATACATAATATTTTTCAGCCTTATCACTTATAATTTCCTTTGAAGTTATCCTGCCGAGAGACTAATCCACTGAACTATTTAATTGGTAGTTCGAGCCATAAACTAAACCTTTAAAATCGAACAACTGTTATATTAAATATAATATACTAAATATCTACTTAAATCTCGTTCCTTTATCATATTATTAAAATTAGAGAATAACTAACATCAAAAAGAATTTTTTAAATATGCTATTGCAATTTTGATGATTTTACATATATATATTCAACCGATTAAATTTAAATTATTCACTTCTGAAAATAATCGTTTGTCTAAGAATATTTTTATGTACATTATTTCAATGATAAAATTGATTGTCCTCTATTTAATAAATTTATCAAAATATACAAATTTCGTCAAAAGATTTTGCAATAAATGTATATTTTAATTATTTTTAAGACTAATTTTATTTATATAACATATTTGTTTTCATTAAAAAGATTTTTATTTATTATTAAAATACACCTTTATTTAAACTTAATACCTACCTTTTAATAATTTTGTTCCAATACAATGAATAATAAAACATTGTTTTTTTATTATAATATTTAAATGTTTTTATTATTTAGTAGTTAATGAAATTTGATGACATTCTTTAAATTTTTGTGTTTAAATAATTAATTTATTAAGAAAAAAGAAACTTATTTTGCATACTATGTGTTTGATAACATATGTTAACCATTATGTAAAAATGTTATTATATTGTATAAATTGTAAAAGAATTTTATTACTTATATTCAATATTTTATTAGTTTATTTATAAAATCGCATTCATATTTTTTTAATAATTCGAAGTTAACATACTGTAAAACTCCTGAAGTTTAAAAAATAATTTTTTCATTTGTATTAAATTAGGAGCATAAATATTTCTAAACATAAATAATTTTGAAAGTAAAGTTATTTTTATGAAATGATCAATGAAAAACTTATTACATATATTTAAAGAAAATCATAAACTTTAAAATTTTTAATAATAACACATCAAAATTATTTAAAAAACATCCTTCATATTTGTTAATTAAAAAGCAACTGTTCATACCATAAAGATTTACGACAAGATATGTGCTTTTATCGTGTTATGTGCATATACATAACTATATGTAAATCATACATAAAGTATATGTAAATCCTTCATCTGGAATTAGCAATAACGGTTTCTCGTAAAACTTTTCACAACGTAACATTCGTATGGTTCATGTTACCACGAGTAACATTTATTTTTTAAAAACAGGGCGGATATTCTCAAGATAATTTATTCTTTAGTAACAATAAACATTTATTCTGAGTTCGTTTAATATGAAAATTTTTTTGAATAACTTATTTATCAATGCATATCTTAATTTCATAAAAAAAAATACATTGTATAAGATTAAGTATATATTGAAATAAAACTTGATTTTTAACAAAATCAAATATGAATAGAATTCCTTATTAAATTTGTTTTAACCTGGCAATTTAAATACAATAATTGTTTTTATTTTATATTAAAACAAATAAAGAAATAAACCAATTAATACTTTATATTTTAAGATTAATTTTAGTTCGGTACAATAAAAAAACTTTACCATGTATATTATAAATTTGTAAATTTTTATACATATTTTTATTTATGACTCATTATGATTATTCGTTTATTTGTGACCAAAAATCTCATTCAAACCATCAAATTTTCAAAAGTCGTCAATGTACTTATATAAAATACAGAAATTTGTGTAATGACGAAAAATTTATAACAATAACTTTTTGAATGATTTTCTTTTTCAACCAATAAGAAAATTTCAAATTAATTATTCAGGGATTAAAATAGCTTATTCGTTTAAAAACAAAATTTTATTAACAATTTGACGTTTACTTAATGACCAAAGCCTTTAGAAGTCAAAATATAAACATAAATATTTCAAATTGAATTCAAACAATTTATCTTATAGTAACAAAATATATAATAATTGCAGACATTTGTATTTCATAACTTTATTTTTCAAAACTTAATCTTTATTTTTCTATTTTAAATTTAATATATTGCAATTATTTGTAAAACAATAAACTTTCGAGAAAATTCAGTATCACTATCTATTTTAAATTTTAAGTCGTGTAATAAGAGTATGTAAAATAATTTTAAACTGCATAATAATAGAGATGTACAGTATTATAAAAAGCATTTTCATTTAACATAAACGAAAATAATCTATAATTCATTACTAGTTATGCTGTGCTATTTATTAATAAAAACATTATTTCAAGGGTGAATCTTTGTCATTTGATTAAAATAATAGTAATGTTAACCGATAATCAAACAACTTTATCATTATTACAAATGAAGAAATGTTTATTACACTCACTCCAAAAATTTATCATAAACTCTAGGACATGATACATTGCATTTATCACATTTTTTTCTTCTCATGATTCTATCACCGGTTTAAAAGGAAACATTATATCCTTTTAAGTCGCAATATGATAGAAGCCATGAATAAACAAACAAATGTGTATTTAAGACATTGGTTTACTGTATATTTCAATTGTCTATTGGGGACTAGCGCTTTTCAGCATAGAATAAAAAATCAATACATTATGTAAGCAAGATAATGAAAACATTAAATAAAAACTTTTATAAAAGGGGAATCATTGTTGCATTCATTTTTATCGTTCTTGGTCAATAAGATACATGGCACGAATTGCGTAGGTGATCTTATTGTGATATATACATTGTTGATATTCAACAAAAAATTTGTGTAATATATGTTTACTGCGTGTAGAATGAGTGAGTGAATATATACTTTGTATAAGTATTGTTATTGATCTACGATTTTGTATATACCGATAGAACAGATGTCGTGATAATTCCTTAGAACGGAGCTTCAATGTTAAGCGCTACCACCAAAATGAAGATGTACAAAGAATTAAGCACCCGCTCATTCACACTGTACTTTTTGAGCGCTTGGACTTGGCCAATTTTTCAGGTAATTAACGCAAGATAACTTTACTTCAGATGGCCATTGCTAGCAGATCAGCTACATTCATCGTGATTACAACTATAATTACACCCTTGATCATGATAACGATGATGGCGATATTAATAATGCTCATAATGATATGCAGGCGAGTGGTGCTCCCTCGCCATGATGAGTAACCTTATCTCTGAGGCTCACCCATGCCGAATTGTTGCTGAGCAGCAGGTGACTGTTGGTGATGGTGATGGTGTTGCATATGATTGCTTGACATGCTACTACACCGCTGAACTGCTGAGGAAGCTGTTTGTGTCTGCTGCTGACTCAAGTGAAGTCCATTTTGAATCGGTGACAAATCTGCAAATAAAATCAACGTAAACAAGTTATTATTACCAATGTATATATATATATATATATATATATACACACATACATATAAACATATATACATACACATATACAAGTATACGTAAATAACAAATGAAATAATATAATTAAAATAAAATCTATCTATAAAAATATCTATATAGATTTTAATTTATTTACTACTTCGTTAAAAACTAAAATTTTCAATAAAAATGACTAATATTAAGAGTTATTTGAATTTTATAATAATTATATATTCCAAAAAAGGAAACATTTTTTTAAATGAAAATTTATTTTGAAATAATGTACTTTACTGTTTTTAATATTTGAACTATTATATAAATAATATAATTAATAAATTCACTTTCGAATAAAAAATAGAAAGAAGATGTTTGATTACCTATCAATATCAACTACTTTTCTATATGAATGACAATTTATTTATTTATTAAAATATAGATATGTATAAATATATATTTCTAACTCACATTTAAAATTTTTTTTGTTGATACAATTGCTAGTAGTCTCAACATGTAAAATATATAATCTGTAATTTTTCAAAACCAAAAATAAAAAATTAAGAAATTAGTAATATTAATTTACTTAACTATTAAAGAAAGCAAAGTAAGGAAATCAATAACAATTAATTACGGTATAATTTCCTTAAATATTTAAATAAATCATATATTTTATAAAGCCATAATTTTATTAAAATTCTATAAATAATGTGAAGACACGAATCTTAACATTTTTATACAAAGAAATTTTATTAATTAACAAATAATGAATGTGTTGGAAAAGTTAAAAATATGGAACAAAATTTAATTTCTTAATTTTAAATATTTAATTTTTAATTAAAATTACAAGTAAAAATCAAGTTCTTAATTCAACATAAATACAAAAATTTTAAACATCTATATTACGTAAAGTAGAATAATAATAAGATTTTTGTATTAAAGCACGACTTTTGTGTATATATATATATATTACATCAATTACTGTAGTTGCAGCATAAATATGTAGACATTTTCTTTGGATCAATATATTGAATAAAATATATTATTTGCAACTTATATTTTTTATTTATAATACATCATATATAATAACTATAAACAAATTATGTAATTTTCTGTCAATTAACGCAAATTATAAGTGAAAAATTTAAATATTTTTAATCTGATAATATATGTAAGCAAAAATGCAATAATATTGTTTCCAGTACTGAATAAATATTATGTATAAATAATAATTATAATTTAAATTGTGTTTAAAAATGATTGAACAGAAATGAATACAATGTTTCAATAGTAGAAAGAATTTTTTACATTAAAAACTGATTTATTAAATCTAAATTTAGCGTATGTAGCAATTATCAGAAAAATAATCTACATCGTTATTCATTCTTATTAGGTTGTAAGTTAAAGGATAATACAGAAAAGATTTTTATATTTTGAATAATAGTAGAACAAACTTTACATTACGTAATGACACGAATAAAAAAATTAAAATGTTCATGTTAATTATAAATATTTTTATATAAGCTTTGTAAGCACATTTCTTACCTTCAAATATTTTTTTATGTATTTTGGAATATGTAGTTAATGTTTTTTAACGGATTCTGCATTTTAATATTTACTTTAACAACGCTGTTTAAGTTTATACTAAAAATTATCTATTAAGTATATACTATACAATGATTTTTTTAAGTATTAATACTTTTCAAATTTCAATAATTTCAAACTGTATTGTACAATAATACAGTTTTGTAATTACTAAAAAATAAAAATAATTTATAAATATATATATATATATATATATATAATTCTTAATATATAGCATATATTACTAAATTAATATAATATAATTGCAAGCTATGATTAATATTTTTATTTTATTGTATAAAGATACAATTATTGATACGTGTATTTAATTTTAAGTTTGGATCACTTACCAGATGGTGTCTTTTCTCCGGCTGACATTTTCGAAAAAGCGAGTAAAGCGTCAGGAAAATTTGGTGGAGTTGCAGGTGTATTGCATGGCGTTATCTGAAAACGAATTTGTTAACAACTTTAGAGCACCATGAATGAACTATAAAAATAATTACATTGTCAATATATAAGTAATGGACATATAAATAACTTCCTTTTATTTATTTAATTCTCGAGTTTACTATTATATATCATTCATTATACATATTCTATTAGATTATTAAACAGAATTTGAACATGTGATACCTTTAAAATATCAACTAATGTTATTCGCTAAAATCTAGAATTTAATCAAGTAGAACTGGTCTTTTTATGATAATATATTATTTAAAATCTAATATAAAACATATCTTCTTATACATCAAAGTAAAGGATATTACATATCTATGTCAAGAAATTTTTCAAAATCGAAAATAATAATATTGTATAGTCGAAATATTAGAATTATCAACAAGTGTATATTACAAATTTCAAACAATAAACTGAAAAATGATACGTACAGAAAATACAGACAATATATTGATAAATAAAAAAAAATGATTAGTCAAAAACAGCTTCGCCAATCGTATTAATAGGATGTCTTAAGTAGTAAATAAAAAAAAATAAAATATACAAAAGTTTGAGGGAAAAAAAAACGTTCAAAATGCATTTAATATTTGATACTGATAATTACGTAAGCGCAATAATAATCCAAATATAAACAAAAAAATGATGAACATGAAAGTCGTATAATAGAAACCCCTCAATGCATGAAAGGTTATTCAGCTTCCGATTTAGTTGGTTTTACTTTATGATTGTCAATTGTAAGTCGATCATATCTATGAAAACGACGAATCTGCACACAAATATGCATAAATTTCTAGTCGTAACTTGTTGTCAAATTAAGTACTCCACAATTTACAATTGTTGCATTCGATCTTTTATTTCAGAATGAAAATATTTAATAAAACAGGTATAATAACGGGCGAACTTTTTGTACAATCTACTTCGAGCAAAAGTTTAGTATAATAGAATACAATAAAATACATAATTTAAATAGAATAACAAAACAATATTTATGGTGTATTAGAATAAAAATAAGCATGAGGAATGAGCACGAAGTTCACACATAATTTTAAGTTAAAAATGTATAATGGACATATATGAAATAACATAAAAGATAGGCAAAAATATGATTTTATTCAGTTAAAGATGTTACAATTAATTATATATAATTTTATGTATTAAAATTAAGATTTAAATGAATAAAATAGTGAATACAATACTGTATTACTTTTTCCATTTATTAGATAAATTTATTACATTATTATATTTATATAAGAAATATAAAATAGAAGTTAATAACAACAATATGAACAATATATAAAAGAAAATAATTAATTACAATATTATTTTATCTTTAAAAATTATCAAATTTCATATACACTTAATATTTATTATTATATATAGTAATGGTTTATATAATTCAGTCTTAAAAGCTTATATAAAAATATTGTAAATCAAAATATAATTGACTATAACTACTGGAAAAGCTTTCGTAAAAAAAAATTAATTTAATTCTAACCAATTTTTTTACTCACCTGTCCAAAATGTGTACCTTGACCACACGAAGGAATCGCGGCCTCTTGAAAAAAGATACTAAGAGCTGTCTAAAAGGACAAACAAAAATTAAAATTTGAATCTTGAAATACTCATCACAATCTTTAAGTGAAAATAAATCGCATGAAACACCGTAATGCAGATATAAAATATTTATATTGTAATTTTATAGCGTCTGATAAAATAGAATAAAAGTCATTTAGGAAATGATTAAAAAGATTAAGTTACTAGTTTAAATTAATCTTAAAATAGTTATGTTTTATCAAGATAAATAATAATAACTATTATTATTATTTTAAATACATCTATCAGAAATCAAGATTGTTCAAGAATTTATTATCATAATATTATCATAATATACAATTAATTTATATATTATGAAGATGAATTTATAAGATGTATACTATATATTTCGTACTATACAATAAATTTCACCATTTAACAAAATATTGTTTATAATATTGTTGAAAAGATACAATAAGTAAGCATGATTAAAAATTGTTAATATATGATTTTTTAATATATCTAAACACTTATCATTTTATTAATAGCATATTCATTTTAAAACGATGCAATTTATTTGATAATCTTATATTTTGGAATTAAAATATAAGTAAAATAAATTTTATTTAATTAATGATGAACATTTTTAAATGACATGTATTATATATTTTGGTTATGAGATCGAAGGTTAAAAATTAATTGAAAGTATCTAATGAATATTTATAAATTTCATTTATCATTCTTTCTCAAATTGTAAATTATCTTTAAAAGAAGAATGAATTCATTGTTCAGTACTTCCGTTTGATAATGTTAGAAAAATAAATATATATAAATAAATAACAGAGAATTCATCACATATTTAAATATTTTCAAGTCGTCAACAAGGAGAGTCAGCCAAATATGAGAAACAAAGGTTTTAAATTTTTCAATAGAAAATGGAAACAATATTAAAATTATTTTTATTAATATGTATCATTAATAGCTTAGCTAAATTTCATTAATAAGGAAAATCAACATACATAAAAAAACATCGCTTTATCCCATTTTAAATATCGTGATATAAGAGGACACTTAAAAAATTTTATCTTATTCAAGTTGTCTATAATGACTTAACAATTTTCAAATGTACCTTCTACTATAAGTAACATATATTTGTCTTTAAACACTAAGAAAATGTATCCTAAGAGATCAGATATCTAGCAACGTCGCGCACACTTCTATATTATTCTCTTATGACTTTCATCAAAAGGAAGTATGTTTCGTAGTTATTGTATATTATGCAAACGTATGTAATGCAAAGTGTACTAAGTAACTATATTAATAATAGTAAAAAATATTTTAAGTGTACGATTAACATTGTGCATTACACCTATTAGATACACTATTATGTATTATATCAATGTAAAATGTATACCAAAAATTAAACAATATATGTAGTTATATAATCTAATTTATTTAATATTTAAATACACACAAACGGTTGTGTGATAATGATAAAGTAGAAATTTTTAAATTCAAGGAAAATATATGATTGCAGTGTGAATAATGAAATAAAGGAAATTTTTTACGAAATTTATTTTCATTAGTTTTCATCAGTTAAATCACATGAGCATTTTTTCGTTTCGACTGTAATATATTTACTTAATTATATAAACATTATTCTACTTTATACGATAAATATAATAGATATTTTGATCGATAATGGAACTTAAAAATACAATTGATGTACATATAAAAATACAGATATAATTAATGCATAATAAAATTAATTAGATACATAATTGTAAAGTAAAATTGTTTAAGCTATAATAAACTTATTACTTATAGTATTCCACTAATAAATCTTGTAGACGCAAAATCTTTAAATTATAAAAAATAATTTTTATATTTTGGAAGTTAAAGAGTATTTATTCTTTAATATAGATCTACGTTCTAAAAAAAAACATTAAAAGAGTGAAAATAAAAAAAAGTAATTTTCTTTCAATATTTGTGTATTAAAATATAAAATTATATGACAAAATAATTGTTATGAGTCCTATCACAGATGCAACATTTTATTTTATAAATAAATTGTATATCAATTAATCTTAATTAAATAATATAATTTAACGTTAACTGTATTTAATTACATTAATAATATTTTTATTGTACTATATATTTCATTAAATATATACAATAAATTTCTATATAAAATATATAAAATCTTCTATTTAAAATAAATATCTATATAAAATAAATATTAATATTATAGAAAAAATAGATAAAGTATAAGATAACATAAGTGGACAGATTAATCATATATAGATAATATGTATATTCATAATATCAGAATAATAAATTTGGTATTTATGTAATCTTTTGAAAAATATATTTTTATTTGTAAATTAACTGTCATAAATGTAATTGTACCTTTGAATAGTATTAACAGCTTTTAATTCAGGACATCTAAAATATTAACAGGAATTTCGAGGTGATAGATATCATAACTTAAATATTGTCTTGTCAGAAACCAAGATCACTTCAATATAGAATTAGACAAATTACATTTAACATTATAATCTCAGTTTTTTTAGCTAAAATTTAAGTAATTATTGAATACAAGTATTTGGCTACATTGTATAATTACTTAATAATAAAATATTCAGTATATAAATAGACTTAAAAAATTTCATTATAAAAATATACTATAATTTTTTAGATTTTATGATTCGTTTCTTATAAGATTAAATTTTTAATAATATAAAAGCAAATGGTCTTTCCAGTCAGTAATTATATATTGAATTTTTTTTATTAAATTTATATTAAGTTTAAACATCCCTAATCATAAATTATGTCAGCATCGACAAATTTCTTTAAATAAGTTAATATGTTTGAATAAACTAGTACTTTATTGCATGTTATTTTATACAAATATCTCAAACATGTTTGAGATCCCATATTGAAAAAGTTCATATCATAAATATATGTTTAAACGATATGTTACTTAAATGCTTTTAAGTTAATGATCATACAAAAAATTAATATAATTACACGGATAATCGATGACGGTGTTCTACAGAAAAATATTTGAAGTAAAAAACTATATAACTCGCAGATCTTTCACATATTATTACGTGCGAATATATGCTTGCATTTGTATGCTTGAATACCTTCAAACAATTCAGTGCAGACAGCACAAATAACTTAATGAATTGGTTTTACAATTCTTTCTTTTTTTTTAATGATCAATCGAATAATCTTTCCTATTGTTCTTTTCTTAAAAAAAAAGTAAAGTATCCCAATTTTATTATAAAGGTGTAGAATAATAGACAAAAATTTGTTCAACGCTTATAGATATTTATAGGGTTCCATTTGTCTTAAGTAGTAAAATAACTAAGTACTTGGTACATATTCTTTATATTTTTAAGAAAACACAAAAACATCACATATTTGTAATCTTACTTATAAATTTGTATATAACTTATAAACAAATTTTATATTGCAAAGATTGCTCACATTTACAACCGAAAAATACTTTTCTGTAATAAACTATTTTAATTTTAATAAATTAAATGATTTTATATAATTTAAATAGTTATAATAATACATTTTAGATTAACCATAAAGTAAATCATTTATTGTAGTTAATAAATGTTCGTATTATTAAGTAATTAACAAAAAGTTCAATTATTAATTGACACTCCTGCAATATACAACGTAATATATAACGTATAAGCTAAAAATGTATTTCGAAAAATTTCACATATTTAAATTTCTAAAAATTCATTGGTGAATCATGAAAATTATTAAAAAATAGAGAATAGTTTACAAAAAAGAATTATTAATTTAATAACATCTGCATTATTTTTGTTTTTTTATTTACACAAACATTTATACTCATAATTTCCTTTTAAAGATAAAAATAAATAAATAATTTTAATAATAAATTTATTTCTATTCATTTAAATTAATTTTTATAATGAAAATTAAAAAAGAAGAATGAATAAGATAGATCAAGTGTTACGAAAATTAAAAAAAAATTTATTTTTTAAATTTAATTAAATATACGATTTAATAACAGAAAATGCTAAATCTATTGGATCATTGAGTTAAAATAATCATTAAGTAAAATATATTGTGTTATAATAAAATAATTTTATTGTAATTGTAACTTTTATATTAAATTAATATATAATATATGATTATCACAAATCTGAAAATAAAGAAAATAAGCATAATTCATATTTTTCACTCTATTAGTTATATTGTCTCTAATATTACATTATTGATTAATTACTATAAAATCTTCATTAAAATTACGAAGAAATTAAATAATTTGATAAATTAACGAAGTATATAATTTCTGTAAAAATACATCAACAAATTATTGAAAGTGTATTTGTATCACAAATAATCCATTACTTTAAAATTTAAGTTTTCATAAATAAATTTTGTGAAAAAATTAAAAATATATTTATAGAATATAATAATACATTTCTATTTTGATTGACATTTCTATAAAAAATAATTTTAAACGAGTATAATATATTCTTAAATCATAGAATCTATAAAATTATATCTTATTAAATTATGATGAAAGGAAAAATGTATAAAAATGTTTAAAAATTAATACTTTACTAATTGTCAAAATTTTATAATATTAAGTGTATCAAAGAAAGGTAAGATAATTCAAGTATTGGTAATTAAAATTAATAAAGATACATTTAAAACAAGTTAAAACAATATACAACATAGCCACACCAGATGAATGGCAAACAAGGCAAGCACAATGAATTTTTAGTAATTTCACATTTGAGCATCATCCATTTTATCCTGGCATTGTTATATGAAAACACAATTGACAACAACATACATAAAAAAAGGCACAAGCAACTTCATATGCAGTCGGTTTCATAATGACATTCAATTTAACACAGCAGAAACAAAACAATAATTATAAAACACTAAACAAAATAGTAAATATTAAAGAATTCTAAATAATAGATAAAAAGTATATTACCTTAATTATCATTGCGAGGTAAAACAATAAAATTTAAAACATACTAACAAACAAAAAATAAAATAATGGATTAAAAATTTACACTAGTAATTTAATAAAATATATTTATATATTTGTTTTAAATTGAATTAATAATGATTAAAGAAAGAAATATGTATTGGCTTGTTTTTAACACTAAATATTATTCTATCTAGTATAATATTAATTTTGGTCTGATATAACTATATACATATATATATATATATATATATATATATGCAATGCATTCTCGAATACTGTATATACGTGCGTATATGGAAATAAATTAATGAAAGTAAATATTATTTTATAATTTATTCATACATAATAAAGTAATAATGAACTAGCATGTTACTATTATTGCAAATAAAGGAAAAAACGTATGAAATAACATTATCAATAGGTTTTTGAGAATCGTGAGTGATAAATATAAACCAACTTACCTCAAATTGCCAATGTGCTGCCTGCAACAATTGTTTGGCTTGTTCCCTAGCACAACCGGCAGCCAGCATAAATTGATTGATCATCACCTGCTCACGCAAGGCGTCCATTTTGCCTTTGCTTCGCTTTTCACTACTTGGCACACTATTCTTGTTAGCGACGCCAACGAGAACGATGACGATCACATCAAACTTTACTTATTCCGTAATTATTCAGAATCTTTTCTTGCCTTTCATAAAATCGACATATTATTGTAATGAATAATTTCTACAAATATTAATGTATATTCTCAGGCTCTTGTTTATATTGTTTCCGTCTGGTCATATAGTAAGTAGAACTTTAACGTCTTGTATTATTCAATTATTATTGCAATCGGCATAAGTTTTGTCAATAATATCGCATAATAACCAACGACTTTGAGTTATATTTTTATTGTGCGATCGTTTCTAATGCATAAGATATATATCGGGACAAACAAAAACGATACTATACATATAGAAGATAAACGTACCAAGCGAATGAAAACACCTCGTTATGATGAATGCGATGTTAGTGATTATAGATATTAACTTTGTGTGCACTACAGCAAAAAAATTAACACATGCGCATGGCAATGGTTCTATATTTCTCTTGCTTTCTGAAATAGAAGGAACAAAAATTTGATTGAGATTAAAATACGTTATCGAATAAAATGTTATATCTACATAACAATATGATAATTCAATTTATTTTCTGATATGAAAATGCGAGAGATATTATGTAATGGTTTGTTTGCAACTAAAAAGCAAAAGTTACAATAACGAAAATGACAATGATGATGATGTTGCCGAACAAATCAAGTATATACAGAATATGCGCATATAATCGGAAAGAACAATGTAGTGTAGTGTAACCTTCCAAGAACGTGCGCATTTTACCGTGTTTAGGTTTACATTTTTACATTGTTTTTTTAATTTAAATTTAAATAAATTTAAACTGGTTAAATTTACATACTAAGAACATCATTAATATTATATTTTCTACATAATAAAATAATGGATAAATAATTGAATATTGTTATGTTATAAGTTTTACTTATTTCATACAAATGTATTTTTGTCGGAAAACGTGCGATAAATACAATCTATTTTTGTAAATCTTCCATTTTTTTAATTATTAGTTTATTATTAACATCATAATTAAGAAAGGGATAACAGAGAAAAATTTTACCTTAATAAAATCTTAAAAAAAAATTTTCAATATTTAAATACATGAAGATATAAAAAATGAAGCACAACTGGTGCAAAATCATGATTTATATAGGAATAAATGTACAAAACTGATGGTGAAAGCTGTATTCTCTTAATGAAACTTAATGTATTCACTAATCTCATTTAAATTCTCGATGGCATTTTTCATTTGTTGCTAGTAGTTTTGAAGACTTGTTTCATAGTTACTTTGAAAACAGTGTTTATTAAAAAATACTTGAAATAGTATAACTACAGAGGGCACGGAACAAGCAGAAAAAATGTCTAATTTCATATTATTTAATTAATATGACCTCTATAAAGAATGTGTATAATAAAAATAATAAATAAAAATTGAAATATTTTAACTAAATTTAGATAAAATATATGTATGAAACAATAGAAATATAAATCATAAAATTATTTTTTTTAAACTGGAGTAACAAAAAAGTTTATAAAATTTAATTTTCCTAAAATTAACATCTTCGTTTTAAATGAAAATAAAAACAATGATGGTCAGTTACTATTGTGAACTTTTAAAGATGAATAATAGACTCCACAAGGTTTGGTATAATATTTCAAGATTTATACAATCGCAATACGGTTACGTGTTGACAGAAAATATCAATATAAGGAATACAAATTTTAGGGAATATATTAGTTTTAATATCTTGATTGAAAATGAATACAATAAAAGCATTGATATATCATTAATACGTATAGATATTAAATTAGATATAGATATAGATTTAGATCAGACAGAAACAATTGATCTCAGTGCAGGCCAATATATCTTTGTACAACATTGAATATGCGTACACTAGACTAATGACTAGAATAAAAAATATAAGTAGTCTTTATTACATGGACGAATACATTTAATATTACAGATTCCTAGTATACAGAATGGATTTAATTTCTATATTTTTATTTTCGATAAAATTGTGTTGATTTAATATTTCTATTTATTTGTAAATCACAATTCCTGCAATTTATATATTATAATTAGAAAATCAATAATATTGTAGTTTGAGTTCTTGATAATAAATTACTTACTATTATCATAATTAAAAACATTCATTGTATTTCTGTATAATTTTAGAACAGGGTTTTTTTTTATTAAATTAATACTTTCAACAGTAAAAATTTATAATATTACCCTGATTTGAAAGAGCTTAAACTTAGCTTTTTATTGTTCATGCCTGAACGGGTGTACTATGAATATTGCTTTGTCAAACATAAAGCAAGACCAAAGAATAGTTGGATATTTTGTTAAACATCGTCTTGGATTAATTTTTTAATTATGTAAATTTATATTTTCTTTATTCTAGAAATATAAATAAAATAGTTATAAAATATAAAAGAAATATATTCTTTTATTTTACTTAATATAAGAATATTCTGAAATATATCAAATAGCTGTGAGTAAAATATTTTTTGAACAAATATTAAAATTTTTATATTCATATTATTTTTAATTTTAATTAGTTTATAAAGATGGGTAAACATGAAGTTGGAACACCTAAATATATTGCAAATAAGATTAAAGCAAAGGGTCTTCAGAAATTAAGATGGTATTGTCAAATGTGTCAAAAACAATGTAGAGATGAGAATGGTTTCAAATGTCATACACTGTCTGAATCTCATCATAGGCAATTACTACTTTTTGCTGATAATGCAAATAAATATATGGATCAATTTTCTAAAGAATTTTCTCATGGTTATTTAAATTTATTAAAACGACAATTTGGAACAAAACGTGTTCCTGCTAATAGAGTTTATCAAGAATATATTGCTGATAGAAATCATGTACATATGAATGCAACTATGTGGCTGACATTAACAGCTTATGTTAAATGGTTGGGTAGATCTGGAAAATGTGTTGTAGATGAGACAGAAAAAGGTTGGTTTATTACTTATATTGATCGTGATCCTGAAACAATAGCAGCCCAAGAAAAAAAAATGAAAAAGGATAAAATGGATAGAGATGATCAAGAAAGAATGATGGATTTTATTAATAAACAAGTACGTGATGGTAAATCAAATAGTGAAACAACAGATGAATTAAAGCCACTTGAAAGACTAGGAAATAATTCACCTATTGTTCTAGATATAAAAATGAAACCAAAAAAATTATTCTTAATAAATTCAAATCTACCAATCAACAGATGTTTAAATATTAAGGAAATTAAATTAAATAATGAAGTTTCAACTCATAAAAAAAGTATAAGTAGTTCTGAAAAAGATAAATCAAAATTAAAACGTAAAGTATTATTAGAAATTAAAAAAAATTTAACAAAAAAGGGAAGATATTACAGTGATAACGAAGATGAGAATGATAAAAATAATAGTTGGTTAAGGGTGGGTTTATCTGTAAAAATTATTTCTAAATCTCATGGAGAAAAATATTATAATGCAAAAGGAGTAGTACAAGAATTAAAAGATTTAAATAAATTTGTTGGTAAGATTAAATTAAAATCACCCAATAATGTAAAAGAAGATTTGATAATGATAGATCAGAAGTGTTTGGAAACAGTAATTCCATCAATTGGTAGAGAAGTTATGGTTTTGTGGGGAAAATATAGTGATAAAATAGCAATTATAAAAAATCTTCGAATAAATGATTTTTGTGTTGATATTGAATTAAAAAATGAAAGAAAACTTTTAAAAAAGATTCCTTATGAACAAGTTTGCAAATATATTGGTTAATTATTTGATCAAAATTTAAAAATGAACTTGCATAAGAATATATAATAGAATCGAAAATATTTTATAAATAATTAATATAGAAAAGTTAATTTTATATTTATATATATGTATATAAAATATATTGACAATTACACTTGAAATATCTTTATTTTAATTTTTTTTTTTAAGGTAAAATATTTTTATTCTTTATCAAATATAAAATATAATATCAAATATAAAAAATTGTTTTTAATAATGTTGTAAATATTTATTAATAAAATAAATACATTAACTGAATATTATAAATGTTTTTGTAATTATCTAGAAAGAATTGAATAAAAACTATTATTTGTATATTAACATTAAAATGTAATTATCAGAAAATATTACACATACTTTATTATTTATACTTTATATTTAGAATAATAAAAAAAAATAGATGAAACATTATATATATTGTACATGATAAAATAAACATTTTATAATTTTAAGTTTTTTTACTTTCGTATGTAGATACTATACATATTTATAGTTAACAGTTTTTGAATTTTAACATTTTATAAAAATCATTGTATGTTTTAAAATTATCTTCTACTAAATAAATTCTACGATTATTTATGTTAAATGAAAGATTATGCCATGGCAATTTAGTTTCTTTGTATGCTCGTATAAGAGAATTTGAAGAAAATTCATAATATTCTGAAGTAAATGGTATTTTACCAATAAAAATTGCTTTATTTTTTTTATTTTTACTACAGTAATAAATTCTAATTGGGAAGCCATGCTGTATTTTTTGTGCCATTAAAAATATAAATCCTGTGAAGAAAATTATTACAAAGCATTGAAAATTTGATTCTATTACATCTGAAAAAGAACCATTGTAATACATATTTGCAAAGTGTGATACTGTCATAAATGTCATAAAGTTAACTGAATGGTACATTAAGGACAGAGTTGTCACAGTTGAATGTCTATAAATGAGTTCACATGACTGTGGTATTTTATCTGATTGTTTTAAAAGTATTTCCATTTTTTCGGAAATTTTCATATATCGACGACAAATGCTTGTTGTAAAGTATACATGGTGTATTTTATTTTTAAAGCATTTTAATATACTTAGCATTATGATTTTTCTAAAAAATTAAAGATAAATTAATATAAAATTAATTTTTTTTTAAATAAAAATATTTTATTGTTATATCTACTTTGATTCATATTAATCACATAATTTAAAAACAAATTTTTTTTATATCCAATTATTCATTTTTTCAAAAATTGAAATCAGAACCTCTAATCTTAGTACCTTATTTTCTTACTTCTTACGCAAGTTTCTTCTTCAGTCAGAACCTCTAATAATAGTATCTTATTTTCTTACTTCTTATGGAATTCTTTAAAAACAATTGTACAGCTTAGTAAATTTAACGAAGTATGAAGAAAGTGTGAGATAAGGAGAGTGGAAATGTTCATATGCGCACATATCCTACAGAACAAACACATAGATAAGTATGGACAAAACAATATATAAATTAAAGAGATCGACTATTCGGTAGACGATATTGTTTCTCTATAATATATTATTTCAATTTTCTTTTGAATGATATGACTATATTTATTTTGATTGATTATATTTTTTATGGGTATGATAAATTTTTTTTTTGTATAATATTTAATACAATAAATGTTTTGTTTAATTATACTACAAAATTATTATAAATAATTTTATGTGTGATATTTGTAAATATCTATATTAATAATTGTTTCTCATAAAATTTTAAGTTAAGGATAAAGTAGCGATGCCATATATTTAATGATTATGTAGGAATTGTTTATAGAGATAAATTTATAAATTATCATCTAGTTGAATACAGACTTTTTCACAAACAATTGGATATGTTATCAATTTTATTTTTATTTCCATTTATATATATTTAATTTTGAATCATAGATCAGTTTAATTTATAGATTATAAAATTTGAACAAGTGTTTTTTATAAATAATTGAAACAAGATGTTTTCCAATGTAAAAATTTAAAATGAAGATATCTTATTCATATATGTATGTACAATTACATACATATTGTACAATTACAAACAATATTGTATGATGGTGTAATTTTTTAATTTATTTTATAAAAAATTATTATACACATGTGGTTAATGTCCTAATTTTATTTATTTGAACCCCAGTGGATTAATAAATGAAACTATAATCGACATCAATAAGCGATTACTTTTTAATTCTACTAAAATAATGCTAAAAATATGCTTTCAAGTTCAGGAAATTATTTATATTCATTGATAAAATTTTAACCTACATGGTTTATTTATTTGTGTCATTTGCTTTATAAAATGAAAAAAGATTAATAAGTTTAAAGATATTCAATACTTTAAATGAAGTAAATATAGAAACGAAACATTAGTTTTTTATTTTCATTATAAATTCTCATAGCTACAATAATATATTTAATATACTTAAACATTATAAAAAGGTAATAATACATTTTTTGCTTTAAAGCTTATTTGTTTGCCGATTACATATGTACTGTATGTATATACCATACATATCTTTTATAAATTTGATTTCCACACTAGATATCCATTTGTAATCGAAAGATTTTCAGATAATTTCCTTTTTTGAATTGTAATTATATATAAAATATTGAAAATTTATTTTAAATTTCTGTACTGAATGATAATACACACTCATTTCAAACTTTAGAAAATATACAAGTGAGGGTTAATTATTGAAAATAATTCTATAATATATAGAATTGATTTTCAAGATGTATTAAAAAATTTGATAAAAATATATAAATTCTTTGAAAAGTGATCTATATAATATATAAGGAAAATGTCCTATGAAAATTTTAAATAAATTAAGAAATAATATCAATATATACAACCCCTTTAACTATTGGGAGAAATAGAAAAAGGATATAAATTTTTAATAAAGAATACAGATTGCACAGTGTAAAATAGAATATTAAAATAATTGAGCTTATAATATAATAAACTGATTGAACTTATAAAAATGATTAATCAAAATCAATAGTCTCATGTAGAAAAATAAATATTGCTATATGCAATGAAGATAATGCATATAAACATTAATCATGTGAATATTAAAAAATTCAAGAATGATGTGAATATTAAAAATTTCATGAATAACGTGAATATTAAATTCAAGACTAATGATAAATCAACTAATTTTTTAATAAAATATGTGAATCTTTGAGAGTATTGATAGTATCTACGTCTATAAAATTACATTGAGTTTTTAGAAGAAAATTATATTATACGAAACCCTAAATAAAATGTTATGACGTTGAGACATTTATGTTTTTTACTTTAATTTTTTCTTTTCTCTTTCTCAAATTTCTTTTGAAATCTTGAAATAATTATTTAGATTATTACAATTTTAAATATATTATATTACATTTTATTAAATTTTATTAAAAATATAATAATATAAATGTGTAAGTATGCTAATAATATTTTTATTATAAAATAGTATATTATTATTATTAAAATTAGTAATGATAAAATAATAATGCTGAGATTTGTAAAATATTGTCAATTAACAAAGACTTGTATTGCATATATTTGAATTATGTGTTTTGATCTAACACTGTGATGTATGCAGAATATGTCTTTATTATGAAATTGAATTTCATTTGGTTTAACAAATATAAGAATATCAATAATTATATATTGTTTTAATAATTAATATAATATAATTTTGAACAATGAAATATTATATCTCTAGAAAAATTTTATTTCTATTTTTATCAAATTTATTACAATATCAAATACTGTTCATATAAAGTCTAATTAAAACAAAAAAATTATTAATTTTAATATTTAAAATATAAAATAAAATATAATACATAAATATTAAAACAATAGAGAAATTATTTTAAATTAACTTTACTATTAAATGAATAAATATTTTATAAATTTTTATATCACTTATAATTAGGAAATATCAGTCAAACTTCTTTTCGTATTTGAATTATCTCAAATTTTTCATGTCTTTCAATTACGTGGCTTTTATTGGTCAGCGCCGTTAAGGGATAGAACAGCTGCCTTTATTGTTCTTTCTCTTTTTTAACCTAATGTTTCCAATTCTACTGGCTTACATTTATTGAATAGATTGCCAATCAACTAAATATAATGTAATGTAAAACTTATTAAAATTTGTGTGTACTAAATATTCACCGTATATAATTAAAATGAGTGCGCTATTTACTTTTGTTTATATTCTCTAAATTTATTGTTTTAGACTGACGAGTACGATTGATTTCATTACTCATCTAATACGAATAGTATGTCTTAAGCATCAACATAAATAAAAATATATACTTCCATTTGTTATATGTACTGTTTCAAATAAAGTTAAAATTGTGTCTGAAAAAGTTTGTTCATAATAATGTCAAAATTATTTAAAATCGAAAATTTTGATTCAGATGCCCAAATAAATATAAATACCAATTACGCTAATAATTATAGCAATTGGCGACAGAAAGAAGAATTACATAAATGTAAATATATCTTGTATTTGCATTTGTTTTATTCAATTTTAATTATTTTCATTACAATTTACAGTAAAAGCTTGGTATGGAGAAGATATAGAGTTTTCGGTTAAGTCATCCGAAGAATTTAACGAGTCATCTGAAGATGATGAAGGAAATGTAAATAAATATTGTTTTTAAAATGAAATATTGGTAAAATTTATTGCTTTCGGTTACCAGACTTTTAAAGTAATATATATGATAATATATAAAGTAGAAATAGTACAAATTATAAATTTACTTAATTTATTAAGTATACCCAAATTAATTTTTTTTCTAATCTTATAAGTATATACATAAATAATTTTTAATGATTAATATATTTATATTAATTATTTTATTAAGGAAATACCGGAACAAGTGGAAAAAAATTTTTATAAAACTCTGGCATATCTTAAAAATAAAGATCCAAAAATTTATGATAAGAATGTACAGTTTTTTACAGAACAAAACAATATTTTATCAAATGAACTACGGGTTAAAGAGAAGAAAGAAAAATCAATATTTTTACGAGATTATGAACGTAAAATGATAATTGAAAGAGGTGGAAATTTTAGTGATAGTGAGCATGAAATTGAAAATTTATACAATGAATCTTGTGATGTAACATATGTAAAGGAGCAAGAGAAAATAAAAGAAACTTTTAAAAAAGTATTGCAAGTAGATAATGAAATAGAAGATGTTTTGTTGAAACCGAAAATTAAAACTAAGGAAGAATCTCAAAACGTAATTAATTTTTCACTATTTAAAATTATAATTATCCAATTTTTACTTGTTTCTTTTTTGTAAATTCGAAGATTTCAAGTATTTATTTTTATTCCTTAATGATATTTTCAATTGCCTTCTAAGGTAGTAAATAATGTATTAAATCTTAGATTTAAACATTTTTATGGTAATCATTGTTTTTAAAAATTACATAAAATAATATAAAATAAATATATTTATAAAGTGATCTAAAGAGAATGTGGGTTGGTGTTTAAAGTATAAATGTAAATACTTGTTGATCTTTCATTCTAGGTCTCTTAAATTAAAATTATTCTATTTTTAGGAAAAAAGAGACTATAAAGAATGGTTAGAAGGTCAGGAAAAAAAAATAAATGAAGAGGAAAAAAAAGTTTTAAAACCTCTTAGAGATTTTTGGACTAATCCAAATTTAGATGAAAATGAAAAATTCTTAAGAGATTATGTTTTACATAAACGGTTTTTAGATAAAGGATCAAAAGATTTTGACTTGAGTTGTGAAAATATAAATCATAACTTAGATGAAGATTTATCCGAAGATGAGCATTGTATTACCGAACAAGAAGAATTTGAATATAAATATAATTTTCGATTTGAAGAACCAGATCAAGAATTTATAAAAAGGTATGATTAAGATTTAGAATAACATATTTTTATTATAATTTATTTTTCCAATTTTTAAAGATATCCACGTACATTAGAAAATTCATTAAGAAAAAAAAATACACGAAGAGCAGAGAAAAGAGTAGAACTTAAAATTCGAAAGCGACAAAAGAATGTTAAAAATCAAGAAGAATTGAAACAATTAAAAGCTCTTAAAAGAAAAGAAATTGAAGCAAAGTTAAAAAAGTTAAAAGAAATTACAGGTATTTATCTTATACCATTAAAAATAATAAGTTGTAATATAAAAATCTCATTATTATAACATTTAATAATTATAATAGGAAACAATGATTTGCAATTTAATAAATTGGATTTAGAAGAAGATTTTGATCCTGATGAATATGATATGAAAATGAGTCAAATATTTAATGATGAATATTATACTGAACAGACAGATACAAAAAAACCAGAATTTCCTGACCTTGATAGAGAATTAAATATAGACTTTAATTGTAATTTAACAACTACAGAAATTATACAAGACCAAATTCCATATAATAAAGCACCTCATTGTGAAGATGCAAAATTTAATGTCAGTATTATACATATTTATATTTTTACATTTATGTTTATTTCATTTTAATTGAGATTATAGAATTGTATGAATAGATGGATGCTGATTATGATGATAATGAAAAAATACAAACAAAATTAGTGCTATGTAATAAAAAAAAGAGAAAAAGACGTGGAAAATTTTTTGAAATGATTTCAAAAGAAAAACCGAAATTTGATCCTACCCAATATTCTTCATATAAACAATATTATGATCAATATTATGCTCTTGATTATGAAGATATTATAGGAGACTTACCTTGCAGATTTAAGTATCGACAAGTAATACCGAATGATTATGGATTAACCATTGAAGAGGTATTTTTTTGAAGTATTGATCTGTATTTTATATGGCTTATTATTTAAAATAGACCAATTCTAAAAAGATATTTTGTAATTTAATTGATCTTTCTGTATACTATTATAAAAAGTAAAAATTTTCTAAATGTTATTAGTAAATAATATAGAACTTATTTACATTAACATCTTATATTAATTATCATAGAAAGAAATAAAAAGTTGATATTAAAACTAAATATTAATTTTGAATATAATTGCTGATATTACTAGAGCTAAAACCAGACAATCTATTAAAAAATCAGATTTTCGAAAATAATAAATTGAACACAATATTATTTCCTTATTTTTAAAAATGCAAGTATCAATTATATTTTCGTGCCTTTAGAATTATTGAATCGCAAATCAATGATATTTTATTTAAAAATGAGATTTTATTACTTTTATTATTTTTACACAGATTTTAATGGCTGATGATAAAGAGTTGAATAAATGGTGTCCCTTAAGAAAAGCTTTTGAGTATAAACCTGAGTATAAAGAATTGAATGACGTAAAAATATACAAACAGAAGTCTAATAATGAAGTTTTAAAAAGAAAAATTTTGACAAGTTTATATAAGTAAACAAATAAAATATTTGTAATTTATTATTATAAAAATGTTCATAAAACATATCTATTGTTTTGTATATCTGCAGGAATTCCAAAGTAGAAAAAGAAATTCCAGTAGCACACCAAAGGGAAGAGCAAGATATTTCAAGGAAATATAAATGTAAAAGAGAAACTCAGAAAATTGATAAAGAGGTACAATAATAAATTATAATTAATTAAAATAACTATTATTCATTAAAATGTATAGAAATTATAAATCTATTATGCTTATTTTTAGATAATATCAAATGTAATTAAAAAGGAAGACAATTTTAATATTAAAAACATATCTAAAAACAGAATTGAACCAGATAAATTAAATAAATACAATAATATACAGAATTGTGAACTTGAAGAAATATTTGATGAGAGTCTTAAATTAAAATTATCATTAAAGAAAAATCAGATAAATAATAAAGGACAAAGTAGTAATAAAGGAAATAAATGTTTTACACAACATTTACAAAGTACTATTGATCAGAAACAATTAAATGTAAAGGGAATCGAAAATTTTACAGAACAATTAAATAACGTGCATCAAAATAACTTATATAAAAAAAAATCTGAAAATGAAAGCACGAAAAACGATAAATTAAAAAAAAGAAAGAAAAGATCACAACAAATTAAAAAGTTTAATAAGAAACTAAAATTGAATAATAGTAATAATATTTCTTTGTTGAGTATAGAAAGGTTCAAAGCTTATGGAGTAAATCCAAAGAAGTTTATAAATAAAATTAAATACTTAAAAAAAAATTAATTTTTTTAATTTTTTATGTTTTATATTAATATAAATATACTTTATATTTAATTAAAATATTTGAAAATGTTTATTTTCAATGTATTAAATATAAAACGAGTTATGTATTTATCTTATGTAATAAAAAGTCTTAAAATTCAAAATAAATTTTTCTTTAATATTTTGATATAATATTTAAATATTGTATTGCAATAACATATACTTATAAAAGAATTTATAAAAAATTTTAAATAGCTTTTGCTTAAAATATATTTTTTAGTATATAAATTAAAATAGAAAGTATAAAATACATATTAACAATTTTGTATTTTTTAATTATTTAACTATTTATTTATGTAATTACTGTCCATTTTCATTATTTAAAATAGTTTTTTAAATTGAAATGATTGATTTGTATTTTAAATTATTGCATTGATTAAAATTCTGTATAAAATAATTTTATTAATGAATAATTTAATTTATTACTTGATTTTTTAAATATTGGACTGCAATAACCCCTTTAACAACAGTTCATAAACAATATAAACCGTCTTTTTAATGATAAAATAATTATAAATATATATAAATAAAACATTTTACCGAGGAATATGCAGTATGTTTCTTTTTTATATACTCTTTAAACATTGGAGAGTATCTTTAAAAGAATATTGTATACAAATAAATTTTTAATATAATTAATTTATTTCTATATAATATTATATACTCAATTATTTTGTAATAAGAATTGATTATTGAATATTTATCATTTGTATTAAAATATTTAAGCATAAAAAATTTTAATAATATAAAAATATAATGTTTATATTTGTTATAAAAAAAAAGAAATGATAAACTATGATAATACTAAACATAAAAAAAATCTTTCAAAATAAGTCTGTATTTCAGATGTGCAGATAAAATAAAATTTGTATAATGATATATGATGTTTGAGGATTATGATAATGCAAACTATAATTTAGGTTCATACAATGTTTCGTTTCTAATCCAACCCGTATGTCATGTTCCACCCCCAGAATATCCCTTTTGATGGTTTACATCGCTTTATATTTAACTATAAATTGTATATAATTTTAAAAATAAGTTTTCACTTTGCTTTCCTGTATGTTATGTAAAGCGAGTATGTTTATACTTATGGTTAAATTGTTATTTTATTCAAAACTTAGTTAAATGTTTTTATGCAAAAATTTTATGCTTTTTTACTATTAATTCGATAGTTACTTTTAACTATATTATATGAAATAATTAAATAAATTAGTAAAATTATAGTACAAGTTTGATTAAATAATATAAATAATTGAATTTTATTTAACTAAATTTATTATAAAAACTTTTAACATAGTTAAAATTAGAGCCACAAACAAACTTTTAACTACATAATATTTTAATGATTTACTATACTGAGAAAAAATATTAATAATTACATCATAAGTTGAAATTTATAAAATTATTTCGTTGTTAATTACGTAGATAAATTGCAGTATTTAAATTCTAATATAGTTCAGAATTAGTAATTTAATAAAAAAAATTTCAGTACTAATTTCCAAATTATTAAGTCTGAATTAAAATAAATCAATATGTTTAATAAAAATAATTTTTAAATAGACTTTTAATAAATATTTCAAGATTTTAAAATATTAAATATGTCGCTGTGGTATTGTTTTTTAAATTTTTTTTTTTGAGTTATTTTGTTACCGATTAATTGAGTAAGGTATAATTATCATACATACTTTGTAAGCAATAATATGTAAATTTATCTTGTATTTTTCAGATTAGATTTTCATTGATCAGATTTTTTTCATGTGATATGCTAATATATTTATCCCAATTTTTTTATGTAATAAATTATTATCAATAAGCCTATCGATAGAAATTTACAAGTCCTTAGTAATTTACAAGTCTTTAGTAAATAAATGATTTTGTAAATTGAAGACCGTATTTTAGAAGAATAGTAGGAAAATGTTACTTATAATTTCACATCATTTATTTTGTAAATTAAAATTTTGTAATCATAATTTATTTTTCATAAACGATGACCTGTAAAAGCTGCACCGAGCATTCCCTTTTTCGATAACAAAGAGATTGCACTCTGAATAATTTACCACATCTAAAAGGTGTTGAGTCGTCTGCATAAAAAGATGAATGTAAAGAAAGCAGTGAAGCAGGAGGAGAGGGTATTTGAGTGTAGGGATGATACAGGCGCGCGTTACACCCCTTGGGTGCAATAAATCAATTCTCCCTAAATGATTCGCTTGAGACTCCAACGAAGCACAAGTAGCAGGTGGCCAACTTGCTTACTTCGGCTCACGGTTCTAATTCCCAATTAATGCATCTTTTCCACTTCTTTACCTCTCTCAACCATTGAATGAAACTACCTTTCTGGTTTCGTTAAAGTAACACACTCCATGCAGATTATTTAAATACATCTTAATTGTATTTATAGACAAATTTCATACTTTGACAGAATATGTTATAAATTCGAAGTAGAACATATTTTTCAAAAACTTTAAACAGTATTTTTAATATATTTAAAATAAATGCTATATATAATTAATGAATAATGTTTAAACTGTATGCTTAGAAAAATGAAAAATAATTACTTATAAATTATCATATTAAATGTATTCTTTAAATTAAATATTTATATATTTTGTATGTATTCTTGTAATATATATATTTTTATACAGTGGATTTATTCGATATATTTGTTTATATTTGGAAAATTTTAAGTCTTGAATATTTTTAGTATAAAATATATTTTGTAAAATTATTGATTAATTTCAAGAATATATTTTTTAAAACATTCTTTACTTTAAGAATCTTAATCGAACATTTAATTTAATTAAATTTAAAATAACATTATAATTAATTATGATATAATATATATAATAACATTTCGCATACTACTTATTATAAGACATGTGTTAGTTTGTTTTCAAATTGAAATATAAAATAGATTTTATTTTATAATTATAATTTGAATTAATATTTTATTAAATTAATATCTGAAGATATTATTAAATTTATATAATAAGAATAAAAAATTTATAATAAGAATATATATGTTTTAGTTATATTTAAATAAATATTGTTTTAACATTATTTTATTATGAAATGTATATTTAAATTAATTATAGCTTAAGCAAAAATTTTATACGTTGAATGAATCTCAATCATATATAGTGCAGTAAGAGTATATAAAAAACAGATTAGCAATAATGGGTAAATTTCACGGATCGACACTACTAATAGGGAGAAAATCAATTGGGTGTTTGCGATTTGCAATTGGGATTTACAATTGATCTGGTACCCTTCATACAAATTATCGAAACGAAATTAATTTTTAATTAATGTTCAACTATCTCTATAGGTACTGTTTTAGAATATTATTATAAATTAAATATTACTCGGTGAATTGCTTCACCTGCAAGTTTTAAAAAATAAATAATATTTTATTTTTGCATGATTTAAATATATTACTTAATTTTTTTCATAATGTATTACTTACGGTATTCTTTAGATAAAAAAAAGTAATATCTATTTGGTATTAGTCACAATTCATGAAAAGATATATAAAATTAGAACATTATTAATATTTATAGCTTTTGTTATTATATTATACAATTTCATTACATATATATACTTATATATTTTTAATACAATTAATTTTAATATTATTTTAATATATAACATATTTTTAATTTCGAAAAGTTGTATTACGGAACATTTTGAAAAGATTTCTGCTAATGCCTGTTGATGTAGAAATATTTCGGAGTTGTATTAAAATCATTAGGTACGTCGTTATAGTATATATCATCTATAATAAAAACACTTATCAATTAATTATTAATAAAACTATTAATACGAGTTATTAGTATGTACTAGTAGTACTACTGTATGTACGAGTTATTATCATGTAGATTAATACCCTTTGAATTAAAGTTAAATCTAGTGGAATGAAACCATAAGCGGTGAATTTCAGAGAGGTTTGTATTAACTGAATATTAAATTCTCGTATCTACAATAAATATTTTAAAAAATATATTTATTAATTTAAGTGTTTGTATTCGTATAATCTTTTATTCTCTTACCTTACATTGAGTTTCTTCATCAATTATAGGGTCATCGTATAATTCATTTATTATATCACCTGTTTTAATAGCCTAGAATCATTATACATATATACAAATTTATAATATTATCTATAATATAAAAAAAAAATATATATAAATAAATTCAATTAATTTTGCTATTAAATATTGTAATTTAAAATATATTGTATAAGCAATTATTAATAGAATCTTTCAATATAAATGTATAAATATAAGTATAATTTTTATATAAATATTTTGCTAAATAAATGCTATGTATAGTAAACAAGATTATTATATGCATTAAAACAATTAATATAGTTTAAATATATAGTTAACACAATACGTAATTTGCATTGTTATTTAAATTCTTAAGTATTTCACTAACGATAATGAAATATTACTATTTAAAAATATATAACAGGAATGTAGTTTTTTTATTTATGAGTACCTGGTCAATACAGTTGCTGCAAGTAGAACTGAATATACTAATTTTTGCAGCATAGAAAATATTCCAAATTGTGACGATTATAGTTGTATCGAAAATATCTTCATGCAATAGATCTTTACTAATTACTTCAGTATAAAGTATATAGAGATTTGCAGTTATTACCGCAAATGCCATTATAATCGATAAAAGCATTTGCAATGCAAAAGCGGCATCTGCTTCTTGGCATACTTTAATTAATTGTAAATGTATTTTTCTATTAAAAAACAAGTGTAGTTTAATGATAATTTAGTAAAAGTTTTCTTTAGTTATTTAATATTTCATTAAAACTTTTTAAAAATAATTTTATTTTTTTAAATATTATAATTTATAAACTATAAAATAATAAAATGATTAAGTATTAGAAAATGAAATATATAAATGTAATAATGTGTATTATTTTTAATAAATACAAAACACAGTAAACATATAAAATTAATAATTCGTTTATAAATAAAATGCATTATTACTTTGCCGTATTTATGATAAACGCATTGTTGACTGACAATTGTCTGTTAGTATAATATATCCAAGAATTATATGGTTCGATCGAAGATTTTATAATTCTTCTATGTTGAGGAAAATTATTTGTGCTCGTTAGCATACATTTTAATAATTTATTTAATTCCATAAATCTGTAACGCTCGCAACTATTAATATAAATATATTTAATGTTAAGCTGCTGGTTGGATAATAACAATATTTAATTACTATTATGATAATCTTATTTGTTATACAGGCACTCGCGTGAGCGTACAAACACACACATACATACACAAATTAAATAATGATATATACTTTATTTTATTTAAAAATTAAAATATACTAAATGAAGATTAATCAATAAATAATTTTAAATCTATAAGTATTAAATATATATATTTCATATTCATAGTACATATAAATTACGATTGAATTTTTAATTCAGAAATTAGTAAAGATCAATTTTAATACTTTTTTCATTAATGTTTAAACTTATTTTTGATATTTTATAATAATATATAATATAAAAGTTTAATACTTTCCTTATAATATTTACAAATGTTATATCAGCAATAAACATTGTAATAATAGGATAAGACATCGTAATTGCTAAGAAAATTCTTGTTTTAACGGGTAAACTATCCATTACAATTAATACACTATTGATTATAATTATAATTAATATATATATTAAACCACCAATTATTTTTCTTATTTCAGTTTTAAGTAGATTTGCATAATTTATTGTTATGCCAATATCTTCCATTAAAGTATTCGTTAATACTGCTTTTGTGATGCAGTTGTCTACTGCCTGTAAATAATAAGTAAATAATATTCAACAAATTTATAAATTTTTATGAATAATCTAACATTTGATTAATTTTATATTTTTAACGTGGAAAAATTTTATCTTTAAAATTAAAGAAATTTTTATCTTATATTTTTAGTATTTTATTTTATTTGTGAAAGTATAAAGGTTATAGAAAAATGAATTTTATTATTTTCAAATATGACTGGGTAAATTGGTAAAATATTGTACTATTTTATTTTAATAAATACTTTATAAAAATTTTTATGTTCAACATAGATTCAATATATAAACATAAATTCAACATAGATTATAGTAATTGTTACCTTATAGCGATACCATCCTAAACAAATGGTACTGATACTAAGAAAAACGTGAGAGAAATACAGAATCTGTCGTGGCATAGTAACTTGAGAAGGATCTGATATTTGTATAATATCATTATACGTAATAATACTAAATGAACAATAAATTATTAAATGAGTTAATGAATAAAAAAAGCTTATAATCGGGTGTGGTTTGCCTAAAGGATATTGGATTATTCCTATTCCAAATATCCAATTAAATATAAATATGTATAGAAAATGTTTTGAAGTTTGATTGGAATTGTACATTTTTATTAAAATATGCGTAATGTAATAGTATAAATAAGTTAGTGTAAGAAATGATGTTTAGATAACTAAACATTAAGCTTGTTTTAGTATTTCGTTACATTAGTATTAGAAAATAAATTTTTATTTTAGTGAAATACAAAAATTATTTATATCATATACCTATTTTGACACAAAATTAAAATTAAATACGTTAAAGTACAATATAAAATAAGATAGAATAAATCAGTTGTGTCTATTTATATTTACTACATTAATTTATATGTGATATTCTTTTATCTTAATCAGTATGCTAGATTTAATTATATCTGCGTGAGCTCAAATAATAGATAATAAAAAGTGGTAGTTAGTAATTTTCATTTATTAATATAAAGAAACATAAATAAATATGATTCAGGTTCATAAAATAATTTCACATGTAAGCTAATATTAAGGGTAACAGTAATAAATATTTCATTTATACAAAAGCAAATAGAATTATTAGATTCTTTGCACATTTGTACAACAATAAATTTTTATTATAAAATTATATGTATACAGTATTTAAGTAAACCCTTAAATTTTCTAATTTATTAATATTGAAATTTTTTATCGACTTACATTTTTAAATTTTCTCTATCTTTAATTAAACAAATCAATTAACAAATGTAAAGATTTAAAATAGGAATTAAATTACTGTAATAACTTGTAATATAATTTTTCATAGTATATAGTATAATGTATGCATTATTAGTCCATATGCCATAAGTACTATATGTCAAGATTTATTGGGCATAAAAAGCAATAAGTAGTACAAAATATGAAAAAATATACAAATCACATTAACGTGATTCGTAGATTGAAAATATATTCAGACTACAATCTATTTAATTAACGATTTTCGCAAGCATGGTTATTTATTAAAATTATTAAATTATATTCTATATTACATATTACCAAAGAATAATTAAACATATTTAAAGCCTATATAGTCTTGTATAAGCAGTGATGACATGATTGTTTAAATTTCGTAAGCTATTTAAATAATTTTAACTAATTATATTAATGCTTAAAACGATATTTATAATTATTTATAAAACGTTTATATAATAACTTTGCACAACCGTATTTGTATAAATTAAACTATTTTAAAAGTTATTTTAAAGAAAAATTACAGAATATTTTTCCGTAAATTTCCATTTGAAGCATGATTATCATTATATAATACATATAACCATATATATATAGTAAGATATACAATGATATTTAAGATAATATGTATAATAATATATAAGAAAGAAGTATGCAAATATATAAGATGTAAGATCAGTAATCTTAATTAATATGTACATGTATGCATAAATACAACCAGTAAAATCTTTAAAAACTTCTATAGAATTATAAATTTTACCGAGTTTATGTTAACTTAATTAATATACTAAAAAACACAATTGCTTTTTTTGAAAAATAGTAACAACAAAAGTGTATAACGAATAATTTTGTAATTAAAAAATTTATTTTTAATTTAATTTTAATATTCGTCTATTATAAAAATCATTAAATTATACTTGATTTTATTTAGTCTTATAACACTATTCTCTAATATCCATAGTATTTCATGAAATCAATATTTTTTATAAAAAAAAAATAAATATTTTATATTATACTTATTCAATTAATAAATTTTATATTTAATTATAATTACTTTTGAAATTTATAAAAATGATTAATTACTAATTTATTTAGCTTATTAAATAAAGTTTTTCAAATAAAGTATTATTTATTTGTAATGTTTCATACTTAAGTTATCTTTTATGATATTTTTAAAAATTAGGACGAAGTCTATCAAATATAATTATAATTATGTTAAAATAGATATTATGCAAATATAATAAAAATACATAAATATAACCGAATAATTTATTCTTTAGAATATTTATAACTATTAAAACAAATATATATACAATATTGTTGTCATAAGGTTTTTATGTAAATGCTTATAATTACATGCCTTTTTCTTATTAATAATATGGCAATACTTTATGTCAAAATATTATTGCTCTAAATTTAAAATTTAAAACATCTTTAAATTGATTATTGAAAAAAGAAAGTATTTTTTCATAAATATTACTATTTATTTTAGAAATTTAACAGAACTTTGGTTTTTATAATTTTATATATTTCTATACTTAGTAGAATCAATTTAATATACTTAGAATACAATGATTCATATTTACATTCAAACATCAAATTTTTTTAAGAAAAATTTTAAGTTTTTAAATTTTTAATTATTGCATTAATTAGTATAATAACTATTTATAATATTAATCTCTAATTTTACACATTTTTGTGTTTTAATATAGATTCATAATTATGTATTTGTTAATATGAAATTAAATTAAAAAAAGAATACATTTACAAGAAATTGTGTTGACTGTATTATCATTAATGTTAATTAGTTAACGAATGCTAAGGTATAACGTCTTTTGTTAAACTGATTTGATATTATAAAAATACTTTTTTATTTTTATGTATTTATCAAATTTTACATACTATACTTTTTTTTTATCTATACACTTTGGAAATATTATACTTTAAAATTAAGATAATAGTTGTAATGTTAATTGTTTTTCTTTTAAATTTTTTTTTTAGAAATTTTTTTCGATTAGACTTTACTGAATTTTCTATTAGTGATTTCTATACG